AGGACCCTGAGATCATGACCTGAGCCGAAGGCAGATGCTTAACGACTGAGCCACCCAGGCGCCCCAACACATTGATTGGTTCTTAAGTGTTGAAACAGTCTTGATTCCTGGGAAAAACAGTTATTATCAATTTTATATATTGCTCTATTTAATTTACTAATTAATATTTGTTGAGGATTTTTGTGCGTATTTATAAAAGTTACTAGTGTGTAGTTTTCTTTGATTGTATTATTTTTGTCAGACTTTTTTTATCAGAATAACGCTTGCCTCTTGGATGTTTTTTCGTCTTGTATTAAGTGTTTGTTGCTTGTGTTTTTAGCACTAGTATTATTTCTTCCTTAAATGTTTGGTAAAATTCACCATAAAGCAACTGGACCCGAATTTTTCTTTGGTGGAAGGTTTTTAACTGTGAATTCATAATACTTTAATAAGTATAGGACAATTCAGGTTACTCTTTTTACCCTTGAGTTGAGATTAGAAGTTAGTGTCTTTCAGGGAAAGTGTTCAATTCATTTAAGTTGTGAAAGTTATGAGTATCAAGTTGTTCATTTTATTCACTTGTTTTCCTTATAATGTCATAAGATCTGTATTGATGCCCCTTCTTCCATTTCTGATATTGATCATTTGTATCTTCCCTCTTTTTTTCTTGACCATTCCGGCTAGAGTTTTATCCGTTGTACTGATCATTTCAGAGAACTAGATTCTGTTTTTGTGGATTTTTCTCAAGGTTTATGTTTTAAAATTTATTGCCTTCTGCTCTTATCTCTTTTACTTTCTTCTGCTTGTTTTGGGCTTAACATGTTTGCTTTTCTTTTCATAGTGTCATAGTTGAAGCTAAGATCACTGAGACTTTTATTCTTTTCTAATAAAGTCTTTAAACCTATAGATTCCACTCTAAGTGCTATGTTAGCTGCAACATGGATTTTATTTTTTTGGATCTATTTTCATTTTCAGTTTCAAAATATTTTCTAATTATTCTGCAAATTCCTCTTTGACCAAGGGTTATTAGAAGTATGTTGTTTAATTGCAAAATATTTGGGGATTTTCCAAATACATTTTGTTATTGATTTTTTGTTTATTATGTTGTCATAGAACACATTTTGTATGATTTCCATTTGTATAAACATGTTAAGATTTGTTTTATAGCCCATGATATAGTCTCTCTTGGTGAATACTACATATGCACACACTTGAAAAAAGTGTATTCTGCCACTGTCAGGTTGTTGATGGTGTTGTTCAGAATTTCTATATTCCTACCAAACTTCTGCCTACGGGTTCTACAGAGAGGAATACTAAGGTCTCCATCTAACTATATTTATACCTTTCTCTCCTTATTGTTTCGATTTTAATTATGGCATGTTGCATTATAAGGTTATGTTGTTAGCTGCATTCATATTTAGGATTGTTCTGCCTTCTCAGTGAGTTGGCCTTTTCATCCTTATGTTAGTCATATCCCTTTACCTACCTGGTAACATTCTTTCTTTTGAAATATATCTAGTTATATTAATACAGCCAGTCCACCTTCCCTTTTTCTTTTTTTTTTGGCTTTCTTTTGATTAGTATTTCATAGTGTCTTTATTATTCTTTTATTTTTAACCTGTTGATGAACTGTAATATAGTTGTGTTTTGCATTTTTATATACGACCATCTCTGTCTTTAAATTGGTGTGTTTAGACTATACATTTTTTAAGACCATACATTTTATTCAATGGAATTATTAATATTGATGGATTTGAAATCTACCCCATTACTATTGTTTTTCCTATTGACTCTGTTCTTTGTTGCACTTTCCCTTTTTTCTGCCTGTTGTCAAATTATTCATAATTTCATGTTTATTTACATTTCTGGCTCTTTATACATTTAATTATGTATATATATGTGTGTGTATATATATATTTGTGTGTGTGTATATATACATGTATATATATATTTTTTTTTTTTCTTTTTTTTTAAAGTAGGCTCCACTCCAGCATGGAGCCCAACACGGGGCTTGAACTCACGACCCTGAGATCAAGACCTGAGCTGAGATCAAGAGTCAGATGCTCAATCAAGTGAGCCACCCAGGCACCCCTACATTTAAAAATATTTTAAGAGAATGCCCTAAGGTTTACAATATAAACTTTTAATTTGTCACAGTCTAACTTCACATAATATTTATTTTGTTGACATGTAGCATAAGAACTTTATGTAAGTATGTTTCTAATTCCTCTCTCTCATCTTCTGTGCTAATGTTGTCATTTTACTTTCCATATGTTATATACGTTATAAACCACAATTCTTTGCTACTGTTTTTGCTTTAGGCGTCAATTATCTGTTAGAGCAATTCAAAAAGAAAAAAATATTTTTTACATTTATTTTCTTTTTAACCATTCCTGGATATAGGTTTTCATTTCTTTTTACAAACCTATTTTTTTTTTCAGTATCATATGCCTTCGGCCTAAAATATATCCCTTCAGCAATTCTTGTAGCATGGGTCTCGTGGCAATAGCTGAGTGTTTGATTGTCTGAAAAAACGTGTTTCAATCACCCTCATTTATTAGAGTTATTTGTGCCGTGTATAGAGTTCTGGGTAAACTTTTCTTTTTTTCTTTTCTTTCAGCACTGTAATAATGTCACCTGTCTTACATAGTTTCAGACAACAAGTTTGATGTCAGTCTTTGATTTCTTCCTTTGAATGCCATGTGTCTTTTATTTCCACCCCACCCCCACTCCTGATGCCATCAATATTTTTTCTTTATCTTTTTAAAAACATTCTGAATATGATGTACCAGTGTGCCTGCATGTGTGTATTTGGAGACAGTACATCTGCCTGTGCAGAAGGCCAGACAGAAGTACATAGCACTGATGCCTGAAAATGGACATGCCGTTTTCTTCCACGAGAACATCATGCAGGAATTTGAGGCAATGTAGTCAGGAGCTGAGCCGGGTTTGAGTTTTGTTGCTACAAATATTTTCAAAGCACCATATACCCTGCTTCGGGTGGTGTTAGGGACTGCATGTCTGCATCCCCTCCAAATTCACATATTGAAATCCTAACCCCCAAGGTGATGGCATTTGGAGGTGCAGACTTTGAGGGGCGTTTTAGGTCATGAGGGAGGAGCCCTCATGAATGAGATAAATGCCCTTCTACAAAGAGTCCAGAGAGCTAGGTTGCTCTATTTCTGCCATGTGAGGAGAGAAAGAGAAGTCAGTATCTACAACATGGAGAAGGGTTCTCACCAGAGCTTGACTGTGCTGAGACCGTGATCATAAACTTGCAACCTTCAGAAGTATGAAAAATAAAGTTCGGTGGTTTTAAGACACCCACTCTGTGATACTTTGCTAGAGTGGCCTCAACTGACTAAGACAAATAGGAAAGAGGGTTATTCTCCGAATTCCTGCTCCACCCACACCTTTTGGCCTCCTCTGTGCACCTGTGCCTCAGAGGGTTTCTCTCTCCATGCTCTTGCCACTCCTCCAGTGGCTGTCAGCTTCTGATTGTTCCTTTGTGTTTGTTGGCCTGGTGATGTGAGACAGGCAGATCCTCTGTTGTCCTGGTCTAGGTGACCCTCGAAGTCACCCTAGGTGACTTCCATAGGACGATGCCCATGCATTAGGGATGGAGGTTCTCAATGCTCCATACCTTACTACTTACGGCAGTGACACTTTGCAGGTCACGTGCAGAAGAGACTTTCCTGACCTCCCGCCTGTGGTAGGAAACCACGAATAACACTGGTGTAAACCCTAGGCCCAGGACTGTTTCGTGCTTCTCCCATAGGGCTCATGTGTTGTGCTCCCTAAGGAAGAGGAGTACTCTATGCAAAAGAGCACGCAAGGAGCTGGAGACTCCCCTGTGTCTGTGTCCCAGGGGTTCTTCTTTCTTGTGCTAGCTCAGACTCAGCCTTTAGAAGTTTATTTAAAAGTTTTTCTGAAATCCTCTTACTCTCTTGCATGATGCCTTTGTCTCTTACGCCTGCAGCTCTGCCACGGGGGAGCGAATGTTCACCATGAGGCTCTCTTTGGAGGAAGCTGCTGTCCTCAGAAGTATAGACTCTTTGGTTTCCCATTTCTTTGATAGGTCCATGAGAGTTTATGGTTTTATAGTAAATCTGATTTTTTTCTGGCTTTTAGTACAAGACAGATGTGAAACACTGTGCTACACATTTGACATTCCAGATTATTATTATCTTAATAGAGTCATCTTATTTGCTTATATTAATGTAGTTATGAAATCATATGTATTCTTTTACTATTTCCTGATTCTACACCCTTTGATATCTCTCTCTTTCATCATTGGGCCCGAAAATTAGATTTATAAAATTTTAATAAGATTATGGAAATAGAATAATACATAGTGATATTTTATAAGTACTTCCTAGAATTTGAAAATTAAAACATTTCCTATTAAAAATATGACCATTATAAAAGAAAGGGATTTTTATTTTCTCTGGATGTAGTCTCAAAGCTATTGCTAGATATAAGGTCTTCTTATGAAACATCATGCATGTTATAACCGTTTTGTGTCCAGAACTGAAATCAGATCCCTGAAGTTGCTAACTGTTTACAAAAGCAAAACAAAGTACCTGCTTGATGGAATTAAGACAGTTATGTTCACCAGATACACTGTTTTTTCATGAATCTTTGAGTCATTCCAACTCTGGAGGAAATATATCTTTAAGTATTTGTTTATAAGTAAGTGTTACCATATTTTCCATGAGAAAAATATATAGTTACAGAGAAATTACAGCTGATTCAAAAATTGCACCTTCTTATGAATGTATCAAATGAATAAAAGAAAGGGAAACTGCCCTAAGAGCATTCTCTACAATTAGCTCAGTGTCCTGTAAATTTTAAAGTGTGGCTGAGACTGAATATTACTGTCTTTAAAAAGAGATGTTTCATGTTGTGAAACAATAAAGTCTCTTGCAGCTCTGAGATTCTATAATTTTTAAGTTGCATATCTCTATTTTTAGTAATTTGATTGAAAATCACACTTACGATGAATCTTTCTGTAATTTCAGGTTTTATATGGGGAGAAATTAAACAAATGTGGGATGGTGGACTTCAAGATTACATCCATGATTGGTGGAATCTAATGGATTTTGTGATGAATTCCTTATATTTGGCAACAATCTCTTTGAAAATTGTTGCATTTGTAAAGGTAACTATTGTTTATATTGTTGGTAAAGCATAAGTTCTGATAAATACTGATACACCTTTGATTGCTATTAATTTTACTAATAATGTTACCTACAGCATTATGTATATGTTATATTCACCTCCTCATGACTTTATTGATAGATGGGTATAAAATACATAGATAATACCCAATTTACAGTCATGAAACAAATTTCACAATTTGAAGTTGTCACCCATTTTAGTTGCATCTAAATTGAATGATGCCTCAAAATCACTCACAGTAGTTGCTCTCATTTCTAATCCTTTCCATTTCTAATGAAATTCTACCTTAAACACTGTTTAAATTTTGGCAACCAAAATCTATTTTTATCAGTTATAACTAACCGATAACATTACATAGATCAAAATATTACTCTTTCAAAGCATTGAATTATTTCAGCTCAAACTAATATAGTTTGATATAATTAGAGCAGAATATAATTTCTTTCTCCTCATCCCATTCAACATGACAGTGCCTGAAATCTCATACACCCATCACTCCCCCAGATTTTGTACAATATCAGTCTTTTCCAAACCACAGAATTTATGTAAAACATTTTTGCTCTGCAATGACAAATGTCATTTAAAATGATTATTTTGTACTTTGGGGGATATTTTTCAAACCAAAGTATTATCTCCTTATTGCCTTTCTTTTTCCCTCTTTCCTTTCCTCTCCTTTTTTAAAAAATTTATTTCAAAATGATTACTGAATTAGTAAAAAATAAAGAGTGTCTAATTGGGCTTTACATGAATAATTCATGCAATTTAGCGATCTGATCTAGAAAATACTACCATGTAGGTGAACTCATGTCCATTTCGTCTAGTTCTTAAAATAGCCGCCTGAGTATCTTAGTGCAGTATTCAGTTCTGTCAGGGTCAAAAATGCCCAAAGTTGGAAAGGCCATAGTTTCTAGAATTTGTTCAATTAAAATGTTGCCAGCACTCACCAAAACATTAGGAAAGAACATTGCCTACCAATTTCATGTAAAGCAAGCTATATTTTAAGAATAAAATGATAATTTGGTAATTTTTCCTACCTGCATTGAGGTTAATGCCCTTGACGACCTTAAGAGAGCAGAAGGTACTGTCTTAACCAAGGAGGTTATGCATCTATGTAGGAGATGGGCAGTCTCTTGTTAAGTGTATATCTGTCCAATTCCTATTTTCTTTGTAATGATCCTTAAGTATATCTATAAAGTTGTTTTATCCATCTCTCTACGAAGAAGTAATATATCTGCTTTTTTTGTGGCCCCATACGAATATAAAATTCTGGTGTTATAGGACTGTAGCCGTTCTCAAACTTTCAAGTGCAAAAGAATCACCTGGAAGGCAATTCCCTTTCTCCATCCCCAGAAATTCTAAAGTAGGAATATTAGGGAGGATCCTAAATTTGCATTTGTACCAAATTCATCAGACGATGCTGTTGTAGCTGATCTAAGGAAGACACATTGAATGATACTGGACTGTATAATTCTGTTCAACAGCTAAGAGAAGTATGAGATTGATATCAAAAAGAACTTCTCATATTTTATATACAATATTTATATTAAGATACAGAATATTTTTATATATTACATTTATATGGTGTTTACATATAGTACATATACATTTTAATATATGGACATTTAATATACATTTAGTATACATTTAATATAAGAACTCTGGTATGTGGTGGGTACAATTACATAAATTAATGAATACTTGTGGATTTTTTTGTCTCAGTTTTAGGTACGGAATTTGAATTTTCTTAAAAAGTTGTAAGTTCTTCATGTGCAACATCTATTTTAATATTAAAATGTAAACATTCTCCCTTATACTACAACAAGGAAAAATTATGTTTAAAATTCAACTCACCCACCCCATGTGATGAAGAAGGAGTAAAGGGGTAAAGGGGTAAAGAGGAGATGGAAAGGCACAGGAATTACCTCAGATGACAATGATGTAAATAACATGGAATCTCAAGAAATACAGTTTGTTTATGCACTGTGGTCATAGGATTTCAGCTATGATTGTAAATGTAAAGTGTGGAATGTTCTTTCTGAGTGATTAGTTTGTATGACTAAAACTTGAGGTGCGGGGGTGGGGGGAGTTTGGTGGGTAGTGTTTTCTGGGCTCACTTCTTTCCTTCATCACTTACTAGTTATCTGAAATTGACCTGTTTCTCTGCCTCTCTGTGCCGCATCTATAAAATAAGGAGACTAATAATTTTTACCTTGTGCTGTTAGTATGAGCAGTAAATAAGCTGACATAATTAAAGTGCCTGCTATAGAATAAACATGCATTATTAATTTTTCTTCTTTCTCTTTTACTCCCATGCCCTCCTCCTTCTTCATATACTATGAGCCCATTGGACTTGCCTTTTTAAATGTCTTTATTATGTCCCTTCATTTACTTTATGTTAGTTGAAAAAAGTTTGAGCTCTGGATTCACACTCGCCTTTACCACGTGAAACCTGTATGATTTGGGACAAGTTATTTAATGTCGGCCCCAGTGTTATTACCTGTTGAATGATGAGAATAATCAAAAGAACACTTACTTTGGAAGCCTGGAATACCGACTTGTTGACTCACCCTTCCTTACCTTCTTTTTTATTTATCATTCAATTTTTCATGCTAATTTTTAGTTAATTTATAAGTTACTATTTCTGGAAAAGATGCCATATTTGTGTACAAAAATAGATTGTGCTATAAATAAGGCAAACAACCATTATGTGAATCAATCAGTAAGAATTTCTGGGAGCACACTAACAAACCAGGATTTCATCTGTTTTCTGAGAGTGCAAAGATGCCTGGGATAAATCCCCTGCCTTCAAGCAGTTCACAGTCAGGTGGAGGAAAGTGACACGCAAATCAGTTTTAGAACCTTCCCATACAATAAACTCTACAACAGGGACTGAGGTAGCATCAAAGAAGGAACTAAACTCTACTGGAGGTGTCCTGGAAGACAGAGCCAGTGGGCATCCATTGGGTTCATGAATGTGCGTGAGCATTCCAGAGAGAAAAGGCACAATGTGCAAAAAAGTCTGAGTGTATAAAGGAGGCCAATATCTAAGAGAAATGATCCAGTAAACTGGGGAGAGGAGAGGATAAGAAAGACTTTTCACATTCTGCTATAGAATGTGGGATTTGCTCTATTAATAAAGAGGGGCATTAATGAGATGTGAGCAGAGAACTAGTCAAATGATAATGAATGCCTGAAGTAGAGAAATGAACATAGGGGAAGCTGTTGGAGGGCTGGATTTGAAAACAAAAATTAGGAAAGAAGAGCCACAAGATTGGTGATTTATTAATTATGAAACATGAGGTAGATGGAATCCCCTGATGCTGCTTCCTGGTAAATAGTTTGCCTATTCTGGGACAGGCAAAATTAACAGGGAGTTATAACTCAGATCTTTGTAGGATTGTATAGGTTCTACCTCCAGTCCGAAGGTGCATAAATGGGAGCAAAAATCCAACCCTAGGTCTTTTCAGCCAAGCCATGGACCCAGACCAAAAAAAAAACCTGTCATTCCCCAAAAGGGAAACCTTTCAGAAACTGATTTATCCAAGGGGAGAAACTTTTAGAATAGATCTGGCAGAAGGGCCACACTTGCTTAATTGATTTATCCTTTTGTAATTTATTCACCTAGAGGTGATTTTTAAACACACACACACACACACACACACACACACACACACACCAAAGGGTCTTTCTAACTAAGGCCATGGTTTGAGCTCTGATCTGTACTTGATCTGAGTACCACTTTTACCACTTTCTACCTGTGTGATTTGGGACAAGTTACTTAATCTATACCTCAATTTTCTCATGTGTAAAATGACACTAATAATCAAATCCTATAGAATGTTTGCGAGGATTACATTAACAAACACATTTAATGTCATAAGTAGAGCTTAATATAAACACTCGGTATTGTTTCTAATTTTTATGTACCACACAATAGCATTATATCGTACAGCCAAAGACAGTACAAAAGTATATGTGACTTCACTATTCTCCTCCTTACATGAAAGGCTTTGTGGTAGTTCCTTAAATACCTTGATTCATGGACATTTCACAGCTCATGAATTGTAAGCGTTTTGTTTTTGTTTTTTTTCATTTGCTCTTAATCCTTGAAGAAGTTTGTTGACCATTTCCTCTTCTCACTACGTATGAAATATTAGTTAATCCAGAGCTTGTTAATGCCTGGGCACGCTTATAAAATGTTACTTTATCTTCATTAGGACTGGTTTTCTTGTAAATATTACCCCGTCCTTTTCTATATGTACAACTTGTCTCATATTTATCTTTAGTCATTTGGCAGTAATGATTAAATTCTTATGCCTATTCCACTGTGTGATATAAATAATATTTTCAAAAATTAAAATCATTATGGATAAGAACATTTATTTTAACAGTCATGATGGAATTGTTCATAGTACCTTTCTTCTAAATATTTCTGAGTAAATACCTCATTGAACTCTCCTATGCTTATCAGCTAGACAAAAGGCAAATATTGTTTCCATTTCACAAATGTTGTAACTGCAATGAACTCTCCAAATTAGGGAATTTTCACTAAATATTCTTTAATCTTATAGCACAGAGCTCTGTAGAGATTTAAATCCTAAATGTTTAATTTAGTATTATCTATCACAGGAGAAAATCCTATGCCTTATTATTGTCTTTCACTACTTCATTTTCTAACCAATTTGTAGAAGGGGAAAGGTTTTCACCATAGAAATCAAACATTAAAACCAATACACATTTTCTGTTTACTCTCATATGGCAAATATTTTCATTTTGTATCAATTTAATTTTTTATTCATGCTTATTGATCGCTTGAGTTTTCTAAGTATGCATCAGAAACTATAGAGGATATAAATAAACCAGTATCATGATTCAGTTCATCTTCCTCTCTTAACACTTCTGCTAAGATATTCCTGACCTGGCTCCAGCTTCCTCTTAGAGTCATCACTATCCCCAAACTCTCCATATTCCAGCTATGTT